TATGTTGAACTAAAAGACACACCAATCATTTTCTAAAACTAAACAAGAGTTGAAAAGGACAACTCTAAAGCTCAACATCCATGAAAGGAAGGAGAAACTCCAATGAGAGTGTGCTTGACCTCTAAAAAATATGCTTACTACAACGGTAACACCATGCTTCAATCTTGTTAGAAGCTCAGTAAATTCAAGAGTAAGTGTAGAGTAGTAGCACTAAAAAAGAGTGCATTACCTAAGTTCAAACTTATCTAAATCCACACTAACTAGCACACTTTAAGCTATGGGCCTTGCAATGAATTTCTAGTAGCAAGACTACAAAGTTGATAGAAGTACCAAAAATCATGAGGATGCATGCAACGTAGCAAATTCACGTCACAATCTAAAACTACATCTACTAGAGACAAAGTATTAGGCTCCCCCTAAATAGTAAACTCTCCCATAATTAGCATCTACATATAAACATAACAACAAATTTTATGGTTTTTTCAAAAGTAGCTAGAAAATAGATTTAAAGGAGATAGATGAGTCTTAAGACAATAGGTTGGAACCAAGGTGGGACTTGACCCTCACTATTAAAGTGTTGACTTTTAGCAAGCAATAACCAACAACATAATTTGGTTTTTAGGTGATAGTAAGATTTACCAACTTTTGATATGTTGCTGAATGATACAATAGTACCACATTGCATGAATAAGTAGGTCGTACTATCAATAACAAGAAATATATTGCTAAAGAAAAAATTAGTAATGTGTTACACCTTGCTAAAATTTTCCAACTGATAGAAAATTCAGTAACATCAAACATGTTGCTGAAGCTTATAAATTACCGATGTAGCTCACATTATTGTCTTACATTAGCTAGCTAACTTTCAATTGTAGGACCATCATTATGACATGCATATATTTATATATACCTTTTTCTTACTTTCTAATCTTTACTATTTCTCCCTTAATCTCTCAATTCAATTCAATTCAATTCGTATCCTCCATCCCTTTCCGTAATTATTTTCTTTTTTTTTAATTATTTATAAGCAATTATTTTTGTAAATTATTAAACTCTTTTTATTTATAAGTTAGGAGTTACATTTCAAAAAAAAATTCTAAGGATTACGTCATTCAAAAATAACGTTCTATTTAAGAAGCATAATATCTTTGCTTAATTAATTGTATTCTTCAATATAATATATAATTTCTTCTATTTTCTCTTTTGAATCCATCTCATTTTCAAATTTTAATCTTTATCAATTATTTACATTTTTTAGTTTTTAAACAATAACATCAATAAATCATTGTTAATAAATATGTTATCTTTATTATATATCTACTTATTTGTCTCTTAAAAAATTAATGTCAATTATTCACACTAGTAAAAATTATGTGTAGCATTATTTATATCCTTATTTACATAATATTAAATATTAATTTTATGTAACAGTTTGAATTATTGTAAAAAAATGCTACCTCTGTGTGATGTGGCTTGCCCCTTATAAAGTTTAGTATCGTGTTACATGTTGTCGATATTCATTTTCAGCCACATACTACACATTGCTAAAGGCCAAATTTGTTCCCCTTTTTTTTTAATCCAATTAAACATAAATGATTTAATGCAATGAGCAATTAAGTTAGTTAGTGAGCAATTAAAGTTAATCATATTGTAATTTTAAGATTAAGAAATAAAAATTTATTTTGTCCAAAAAAAATTTAATATTTTTATATTAAATGCTTGGAAAATGATGTGTGCACACCCGGACCCAACACCCGGGTGTGCGCACATCATATAAACAAAAAAAATGCCCATCACCTGGTCCAACTTTTTTTTTTTTTTTATGTGGGGGGTGCATACCTGGGTGTTGGAGTCGGGTGTGCACCAATCATTGTCCTAAATGCTTATGTGAACTCAAAATTATGTTCACATCATTTTTTTGACAAAATAGATTCTCCATGTCATTTAAATAAAGAGTAAATCATGTAATTTTCTTAATTAATGTGCCATGTGTAAAAAAATTTAACGGTGTAACCAAAAAGGC